ATAATAAATTTTTACTCAATCAAGCAATTATTTAATTTTACCACTATCTGTAACATGTGTAAGTAAGTGTGTACCAATGAACAAGATAAAAATATGTATATGTTCTAGAAAAAAACAATCATAAAAGAATTTGTATTACAAAACATGGGAGAAAAAAAATACTAACAGCTATTATTTCTAAATTTTCCAACAAACTTACTTTCATCATCTCCTTTGACATTTCCTGCATTGTTTTTGCAATTTCTGGTACCTTCATTAGCTGCTGCATGCTTTTCATGACTTCGGTGCTTTTTTCTAATGCTCCAGCAACACGAATACAAGCTGCAAAATCATTTGATTGAATAATTTAACCCTTTCTAAGGCAGTGGTAAGTATCATTAACCACCATTGCATTAATTTTTAAATGCTTACAGTAAGCTATTTTATTATATTTAATTTGTGCTGTCATCCTTAATAACTTCAGAAAATTATAAACTCTTACACACTTTGTTACCAACCCCCTCCCCCATTTAATAACAGAATTAAAAATTTCCTCATTGATATGGCAATTCCATGAGATATAATATTGTATTTTGTCATCTATCAATTAAAAAAAAGCTTTATATAACATACAATTATTTTTTCAGTTTGAGGTATTTACAAAATACATTTTATTAATACAAAACAAAGAAATAAAAAGCATTAATTTCCTACTTTTTAATAGGGCCCAATGAGCAGCGATAAATATACTTACTACCAAAAAGGTGGTGTTAAAAATCAAATTAATTTTATTTAATAAGCTAAATGAGTTTCTTTTCTTAAATCAACCTCAATTCCACAAATATTTTAATATACCTTTACTAGAAATAAATGCCCCATTAAAGGGTTATCAAATAATAATAATATATCAAACATAACAAAGATTGCCCAAATGAAAAGGGAACACATGCAATTGTGTCTGAAGGATTGTTTTCCACAAGGCATAGGTAAACAGCTTATGCAAAAACAAAAAAGAATGAATGAAAAAACAATTGCAGTACTTTAAATCACCAATTTGTTCTCCCCTTATATAGCACTTGGGGGTGACTATGGTGCAGTTGCCCATGATGCGCGTCTGCACTATAATGCTAATGATTTGCATATTTCATTGTTGCCAACACATGATGTAAATTTCACATGGTTTGCATACTTCCTTCAAGGTGTTGCATTTTGTATGGCCAGCAGTGTACACTGAAAACTGTTCACATGCGACACTTCAAATCACTTTCATTAATTGCATTCATTCATTTCACAGAAACTTAAATGGGGAGGGGGATGATTATTTTATTTTGAATATAAGTCACGTGGCTTAGTTCAGAATTATCAATACATCACATCAACAAAAAATATTTCACATTTAGCTTCAATTTTGAATTTGTTTTATCTGAATACTGCAAATTTAAGCAGCAAATGTATAAAACAAATATAAGAAAATATAATAAATTATTTTTACCTAGCTGGTGATTCATGCTCATCATCACAGAGTTGATTTGAGCTTTAGACGTATGGATCCGTCTAATAGCATTTCGTGATCTTACAATTTCTTTTGCCAAAATTTTAGCCACATCAGTATCGCCCTTTTTAGCAGCTTCTTTTAAAGTTTTTTTTACTTTTTCTTCCTCACGTTGAATTGCTCTGATTTGACGATCCAGCTGATACCCTTCTTTGCGGAGTTTTGCAGTCCATTCACGAACCTAACAAGCAGATTAAACATATACTCAAGAATAACTTTCATTATTTCAAGTAATAAAAAATTGGTATATTGATGGACAATTTTTTAAAAATAAATCTTTTAACAATTCTTTTTATACAGAAATCATTTCACTCTCATTATAATACTGCTAATTTTGAGAATTTCTTTCAAAACCAATTAAGTTCTTGGAGGGGATTCGGAGATACAATTTCTAAGCTATTTCTAAAAGAGTACTCAGATCATTAAAATTTTTTTCATATCTTTCGGTACCATGATGGAGCACCTTTTTAATGAATGATTAATAAGTTAGGGGAAAAATTATAATGAGGTACATTTGTAATATAAATGCAAGCATTTAAACAAAGAAAATTAGCATTTATACTTTGAGCTTAAAATCTGCTTTGAAAGAAGAGATAAAATATAGAAATATAGAGTAAGAAAAATGCAAGGAAAATTTCTTAACAATTTTAAGCAAATGTATGCATGAATAATGCTGCATTTAAAGTGCATTTATTGTAAATACCATTTAATTTTTAAAAAAGTTTGTAATCACACCGATTATTATATGAATTTTTAACAATTCTAATGTGAAGCAAAATATGTTAATATTTTCATTTTTCTTAGTTTCTATTTGATTTAGTGATTAAAAGTACCTTGTAATATCTTTATCACTATTAGGGTTTGCAATCCCATGCTATATTTTCAATCCCAGGATTTCGGGATTACACTATCCAAATCCCGGGATTAGGATTGAACTATTTATGAAAAATACTTGCACATTAGCATGGTTGAAATTACATAATAAAACTAAAAACATAATCAAAAGATTGGTTTAATATTATTATTTATTGAAACAAATCAAAACAAAACTTAATTCATCAAAAATTGACCCATTTGAATTAAAAATTGATATGTTTGAGATTTTCCGAAATCTTATTGTAAATTTAAAACAGAATAAAAAGCCCCTATTTTTTATTTTCATTTAAATACTATTTTTTTATGTTTAACACATTTAGAATTGATAACTGCATGGTAAAACATTCTAAGGAAGTAGATTTTTCAAAATTAAAATTATGGAGGCTGAGCTGAACCTTTTTTCCAACAAGCTCACCTGCACACAGCATGTACAAAAGATAGAATAGATATTTACATAAATTTTAATCTAAAAAATTTTTTCTACTTATACAACTCCCATAGATAAAATATATACTTTCCTTTTTTTTAAAAATCTTATTAACATATAACACTAGAAATTAATCATTATAAAACTAAAATTAACTCTAATAAAAGTACTCTGAAAACAGACTTCAATTTTTCAAATAATAATAAATACATTGTATATTTCACAGTCCAATAAAATTCTGTTTCTTAGCTTCCTCAAAAAATATCTTTTTGAAATATTTTTAACAACATTTAAATATTAATACATGCAATCTAATTTGAAAATATATTAATAATGATAGCAAAATAATATTACTAAATTTATCTCACTGTATATTAAAAAAAGAAGAAAGCATTGAACAACTCATCTATAAATGAGTTAATTCACAAACTTTAAATATTCAGAAAGAATTTTGAAGAAATACCTTTTTGATGCTCCATACAGCAATAACAGCTCTTAAGAATTTACTTATTATAACAAAATAATATTGCTCTCAATTTATCTCTTGATATATAAAAAAGAGAGAAAGAAATTAAAAAAACACATCTTTTATAATGGCAAATTGATAATTCAAAAACATGATTCCCGATTGATGATACAGAAAAGAAAAATCAAAATTTATTATAGACACATCAAACAAATAAGGGGGAATAGCAATGAATGTTGAGCAATGTCTCATTTCAGAAGTGGAAGCTTTCTCTATAAATTTTAATGAGAAAAAAATTTCAAAACATAATTCAGGCAAAAATTAAATCCCGGGATTAGAAGAAACACCCATGGGCTGCAAACCTTAATTTAAATAGAATTTCCTAAAATGAGAGGTAAATACATAAGGTCCATATTCAAAGTGACTGGTACCAACATTAATTGTGCCTTATTCAAAGTGTATCTTACAAGAGGTACTACATTATTTGTATATTAGTTTATATCTTAAAAAATACACCACAATTCAAAATTAAAAACATAATTACCTGTTGCTATTTCATACAAGCTAAATGTAAACAATTGATTTGGACTAACTTCAGTAGGTCAGTTTATTCGAAAATGAGTCTGTTGATGGTAGAGATCACAAAAATTAATTTGAATCTCGAGTAACTTCACTCAAGAGTAAAATATAATTCATTGCGTGGATAACCAGAGTGCCTAGCTCTTTCGAGCTTTAACCTCTCATCATTAGGATTTTGAGAGACTGTAACGTTATGACTCTTGCCCTTTGTTAATTAATAATACTAAAAATGTATAATAAACTTTTAATAAATTATAAGAATAAACTTCAAAAATAATAGACTGCATTAAGTGCTTGAGAAAAATAACTTCAAAATTAGAGCAAGCACCGAAAATGAGAGCAGATTCCGAAGAGTAAAATAAAACATCTTCTGTAGCTAGATATCTTCCAAAAATTCTAATTGCCTCTGTGCCCTTCAAGTTAGCTGACACCGAACATCCTGTGGGTGGGAGAAATGTCCGTTTTCTGACCCCACTCGCGCTGGGGAGAAATTTACAGAAGGAAATAAGAGAAAACATATCAAATTTCACAGTTTAACATCACACCCTCCTGGGACCCTTCAAGGTTCAACACATAAGAAAACTGACATTAAAGGTATACAGTACAAAATAAGTAAATAAGATACATTTAATGTAATACCAGATTCACAATACTTTGAAAAAAATTTCAAAATATAATTCAGACAAAAATTAAATCCTGGGATTTGAAAAAAAACCACCAGGATTTTGGGATCCCAGGACTGCAAACCCTAATCACTACATACTTTTCAGTTCTCAATAGGAAGTAAGCAAATGTTTTAGAGTAGTTGAATAAATTCAAGACAGAAGAGAGTTAGCTTCTAATTAATATGCGAAATTGGTTAAAACCTTTTTTCAATTCCTACTATTGGTTCACTCTCTCCCTATGTATATATATATATTGCTCAAATTTTTCAATCGTTAAAAAATACTTTCTGTTCAACCGTTCAAGTTGAAATACATTTTTTAAAACTTGTAGTGGATGACACTTGATGTTAACAAAGTTTTTTCAAGTATTAATTCATTAATTAAAATAAAAAATGAATAGTAACAAACAAAAGTAATAATCCAACAGCATATATAGAAAGGAAAATCGTTCATTGTGTCCCTGTAGTGCAATGTACAGTGCATTGGACTTCTAATACAAAGGTTGTGGGTTTGAATTCCACCTGGGATGACCCAATTTCCGAGAATGTAATTTCTCTCTTACTATACTATTTTATTAGGATAATTAAATTTAATTAATGAATAAATAGTAATAAATAGAAAAAAATAATCCAACATCATATATAGGAAGAAAAATAGAAATTGCAAAGAAAATCGCTTTCTATTTTGTCACTTAATATTGTGATTCTGTCATATGTATATACATATTTATATTAATTGTGACTATTTAATAAAAAGTAACTAAAATAAAATTTTTCTTTGTTGACCTAAGTAGGGATTGACTTAAATTTTTTTTTTATATATTACTGTTTTTTTATTGAATTAAATGATAGATTCCCAGTATTATCGGTACAATAATCAGAAATGAAATATAGGGTTCATTTCAGAGAGATTTTTAAGTTAGTTCTTTAAATTATAATTTTTCTTCATTGCATTTTTAATCAATGATCAACAAAAAGTCAACAGTTTTTTTTAAAAAAAAATTATTAGTTAAGAAAAGACTTTTTATTTCTTTGGAATATACTAACATGAATGTTTCTGCTCCCCCCCCCCCAATTTTTAAACCTATAATACTGAAAGTGAATTATAAATTTATTATTCAATCATCAAATCAATTAGTCATAAATTAAAATCTTAATAATAAGAAAAATTTAAAGTCATAAAATGAGATACTTCGTTTACAACAAAATAAAATGGAAATATTAAAGACACATGCACACATAAAATCATACAAAAACTTCCAGCACTGGCTCCTAAAATTGATTCAATTTTTTTAAAAAGTCTACAAGATAAGAAAAATAAAAATACCCATCATTTAACCTTTATATTTAACTTAAAATAGTATTTATGTTTATAAATGAAAGGCAAGAAAACAAAAGTATTCAATATTTCTTCAACAATAGAATTTTTAAATGGGGAATTATAAAATTGTGTGAAACAAAATTAATAATAACTTTGTTTGTATAAAAATACACCTAACCAAAAAATAAATAAGTAAACGTGGAATTAAAATTAGAAATTATTTTAGAGTATTCTGCAACAGCAAATACAGGCTGAAAATTTGGCAAGTTTGTGATTCAAATTTCTCAAGAAAGTATAATTTTAAGTAAATATTGATACAATTTTGAATATGGAAAATATCTGAAAATCTTACAGAAACACTTAAGATTCAATTTTATAGCAAACAGACATACAATAATTGAATCTTCAATTCTGCAATCACAAAACAAATCATTTGATGAGTAAATAACTTCACAAATAAGCTTACCAAGTACGATCTTACATAATATTCTCATTATACTGGTCTCAGCAAGTACACTTGCATATTATTGTTGAATTTACCTAAACGAGTATCTAGGACAAACTTTCAAAAGGACATCCTGCACTCCATTCTGCCAAAGTTCATTATCAAAGTCTTATCCAGTTTCACACAATTTTCAGATTTAAGACTGTTAGGGTGTAGGATTTGTGCTATTGTTGCTGGTTGAATGCCAAGGCTGAACCATTTCAGTCATAAAAAAGACTGGCTTCATTGCTATAGCACACCCCAGTATGAAACCTATAATTTAACTCATTTATTCAAAATGAGAAAAAATATGAATTGTGACAAGGCTAAATCTCAAATTTTACTCTCTCTGATAAAAAAAAAATAAATAAAAAAATAGGTAAATCTAAAGGCAGATGTTTTTTTCACCTAGAGAGAGGAAAATTAGATGCATGATGAACATTTCCATAAGTATTATGGAAAATATGGTGAGTGACAGAAACTTAATAGTTAAATTTCTTAACCCTAAATTATAAAATTGCATTTTGCCTGTAGAAATATCAAAGAAACACAATTTTAATATTTAAGATATTATATATAATATAAAAATACTGAAATTTAAATACACATTAAATAACTGCAAGTAAAAAAATCAAATTTCATTTTTCTAAAATACAAGAAGAGAAAAATCATGTTATTTCCTAAAACATATTATAAACCCCATAATTTGGGGGGGGGGGCAGTCATAAAAGTGCCTATTTTTTTTACTCAAGAAAATTATACAAAACTAAGAACATGTGCAATATATGTATTTATTTTTAAATTTTGAGTAAATTTTTAGCTAGAAATACAAAAAAATTTAAGAAAAGCCAACATTTAGGGTTTTATGACTGAATGTTGGTTTTCTAGCAAAGAGAAAAAATAAAAAAACATGTTTTATAAACATTAAAGGAGAATTTTACCATGCTTTATGCAAATTGTAAATACACATTTGTAATTTTTTCTTCTGAGATAAATTTCAAAGCATGAGATGCAAAGGCCACCATAGCAGGTACACATCCATCATCACTGCTCTCAGATTCACTAACCAAACTTTCATAACAATCAGTTATTGCAGAATCACTCTCAAATCCATTTATACTTAAAGTAGAATCTGATTCACTTCCTCCATTTATGTATACAATATTAAAAAATATATATATTTTATCACATAACACAACTTACGTGTATTCACGAAAAGCAGAACTAAGAAACTGAGCTAAGGTTACAAAAACATATCGCTAATATATACATTTGATTGTGCTTACATCTAGTTTAAAATAAAATAACTTACTTTAAATACCTTACTGATAATCTGGTACTGCCATCTGGTGAAAATAAACATGATTTTGGGCATAAGAAATGGATAATTTTAATCTTTTTAGTGTGTTAATTTTGAACACCCCAGCCTGGAAATATCAAGGGCAAGAATAAAGAGGGAAATTTCACCCCGTGATTTTGATGGGAAGGGGTTAATAAGTTATGATATGGTAGTTAAATGCATGTAAAATGATCTGTATACTATACAAATTTTTCCAAAATTACTGAAAAGTTCGAAATGCATGATCTTAACTGGGAAAAGGTTATTAAAAATTCAATATTAAGAAATAACAAACGAGTTGAAATTCACTATATAGCAAATGAACAAAGATTTCAAAAATAAATAAAAATTATTAATCTGATATACAATCAAGAATTTTTTTTAAAAAATTAGTAATAATTGGCATTTAAAAAAAACATTAATTGAAATATCAAAAATATATACAAATTAAAATTTTTGAACATAACTTTTCAGATATTATAAAAATTTGCTTAAATTTATTCTTCAAGAGAAGAAAAATCTAAAAACTGTTCAAAATAGGTAAGTTTTGCACAGTTGTCATCTAGTCAGGCAGACCTACAAATTTCAAAAAACCCTTGTATCTTTTTTGGCTATCTACTATATAGTTTGACTTAATTGGGACATATATTTTTTTCTTATCTAAGTTGGTATGTGATTACCAGTTATGTCCCGAACCATCTCAAACCAGATATATCTGCCCAGAAGAAATGTGATGGATTGACATTGACTATAATTTACCCATTTTATGGGTTTTATTGCATTAGTAGTTCAATTGTGAGCCTTTCAGTGTGGTAGCTGGTGGTTATAATTTTGCATTTCACATAACATGTGTTCCTTTCCTTGTTCAGAGGTGGATATTACTCCAAGGAAGTATTCTAAAATAATTGCTCTTAATGAACACTATGAGAGATATAGCTACAGAAATTGGTGTGGGTAAATCAAGTGTTCCAAGAATTTTAAGAACATTTCTAGATTTTTGATGATCATCTACAAAAAGAAAAGGAAGAAGTAGGCTCAAACGGAAAGTTAATCAGATAAAATTCTCATCAGAAATAGCAAAATAAATCAAAGTAAGACAAGCACATACCTTCGAAAGGATTTATTGGATTATGGTGTTGAAGTGAGTACTTCAACTGTACTGAATACTGGAAGTTAGCCATAAGGTATAAAGATCGAGAAAAAAGCTATTTCTAACTCAGAAAACAATGAAAAAAACATTTAGCATGGGCCAAAAATACCGATCCTGGACTATTAGTGACTAGAAGAAGGTGATTTTCAGTAATGAAACACATTTATTTGTGCAGGGATACAAATCAAATGTAGTTTGAGGAAGTGAAGTTGAAACTCTGCTGCCAGATCATATCCAATAGACTGCATAATATCCTTCTAAACAGATGTTTTGGGGTTTTTCATAACAAATGGCACTGGAAGCTTAGTTTCCTTTAAAGGCATGATGAATTATGCCAAATATATAGAAATATTATGCAGTAGAACAGTTCCATCAATGGAAACATTTGATGGAACATTTCAATATGATTTGGCTTCTTGTTACAATTTGATATTGGTCCAGACTTTTATGTGATAAAATAAAATAAAAGTGCTTAATTGTCCCAGTAATTAACCAGAACTAAATCCTATTGAGAATTTATTACATATTCTCAAGAATTGTTCAGCTGAGATGAGTTGCACAGCAACAAAACAAATGATAAAAAGTGCAAAACAAGTATGGTTCCACAATGACGAAGTTAAGAGCATGTGCGCTGTACTAGTGGAGTCAATACTAAAACGAGTTGAAGAGGTCATATCTACTACAGGAAGACCTACTTCATACTAATATAGAGATTTTTCTGTCTACTTAAGGTATGTAACGATTAAAAGCTATGGTTTTGAAAAAATCATTTTTTACCATTTGCCCCAATTAATTCGAACAGTATAGTATGTATATACACAATGATTTAAATATTTTTAATAGCATATAAGCACATATATTGCTCATTCCTTTACAAAAACTTATTAATACATAACCTCACCACAGTCAAGTATCGCTTAGAAAAAAGTTGATCAATCAAAAGTTAGCAAGAAAATACACTTTACAAGAAGCAAACATAGTCTAGCCATTGAAGAGGCTATAGATTAACTTTATAAATTAGAAAACGGTGATTGGTCAGTGTTTTGCAAAATTAAAGGTGTCCAAACTAGGTTATGGTCATTTTACTCATATAAAAAATAAAACATATGAACATAATTACCGTAATTTCGCACGTATAGTCCGCAGACATGATTTTATATAAAAAAATTTCAAAAATCGTCAGATAGTCCGCGGACTATACGTCCGAAATTACGTTATTTTAATACGGCAATATTA